TGTAATATTTTAGTGAAAGAACGTAACTCTGGAGCCAGAAATCCAGGGGTCGAAACCCCCTGAACCCCCACCCCCCCAGCTCATTTGCTTGGGGTAACTTTTCCGAGCCTTTGCTTCCCCGTCTGTAAAATGGGAGTGATAACACCTGCTCTTCCTGTGTCCCAGATCTACGTGAGGAACAAACAGGAGGATAGAAGAGCACCCTGTTCTGAGTATGAGATATAATAAATTGCTATCTGTTTAGGAAGTTTACAGGGTTCTTTTAAAGCAGTGCCACAGCGTCGCCTTGCTCCTTCTAATTCTTTGGGGTGAGTTAGCTCTTGCTGGAGCACTGGTGACACAGCAAGTCCCCAGGGGCTGTGAATTGGATCCGAAGGGGAGAGGCAGAGGGAGATTCTTATCTGGGGAGGGCAGGGAACACTCTTTGTGCTTAGGGCAGAGGCCATGTGGGATGAAACAGAGTTTGATTTGTGTAATCCAACCATGTCGGACACCACAGCCAGCTCTTTAAAAAAAAAAAAAGCCTTTTGCTTGTTGGGCCTCTCCCCAGGCAAGAGGCTGATACTATCACATCAAGTACATCTTTAGACCTGGCCAGACATCAGTTGTTCCTGGCCTCAGACAAGTGGGTTATCTTGCAAGGCTGACTTTTCTGTAGTCAATCCAGTGTGCACTTGTTGAGTACCTACTGTGTGTCCCTGTGCATTCCCTCTTACACAGGATGAATGACCATTCAGTCACAGCGCCTTGCACACAGTGGGAGCGATGGGAATAGTTGTCAACTGACTGTCTGTATCCTCTGAGCACAGTAAGAAAGTGGGACTGAGGCAAAGGAAGACCTCAAAAGGTTGTGCTCTTTTAACTGAAGAGAATATTTTTACCCACCATGATAGAACCCCTTTCCAGGGGCCATTCACGTCCATTCTTTCCGTCCATGCCTTGGTCCTACCCTCTAGTCTCTGAATTTGAGGGCTTCTGGTATAAGCTGAAATACCCACCAGCTTCCCATCTCCTTGGTAGTCCAACCCACAGCCCTGAGGGAACCCTGACTATGCATTCTGGGAACCCCCACTCTGCAGGTTCCCAGACTTTGAGGGGTGCTCAAGCTGAGTCTGGGGGAGCTGAGCCTTGCTCCGGGGTTTGCACTCATTGCTCTCAGATTATGTGCTGGGTGGTGTGCCAAGTGCCCGTGAATCAGAGGCCAAGCATACACTTTCCTGGTTCCCTGTTCCTTCTCCCCTTCTCCCCCACACCCTCTCCTGGAAGGATCCACATTCTCTGGTATTCTGGTGTTTTTGTGTACTTCATCCTGTTGGGTGAATGTTGATTTCCTTCCTCCTTACTGTTTCTTTCACTGGCCTCCCTTCAAGTCCATTTTCTTTCCTTTCTAGTCAGGCCCTTTTGTTTAATTTTTTTTTTAATTATTTATTGTTGCTCCTCAAAATCGGAGCATTCTTTGATTCTCTTGGTGTGAGGCAGCTTGGATTCCTTTCAGAAAAGGGCCTTTTGGGGACTGCCCTGTGACAGGAGAAGGCTAAGTGTGAATACGTGTGGCATCTGCTTGTGCCCAGAGAAAGGGCTACTGGGGCTGTAGGCGGGTTCCCAGGCCTGCTCTTGCTGGTCTCATGGCTGTCACAGCCTCCAGCTTAACTCACTATGAGGCAGCCTGTTCTCCAGACCCACCCAGACCCTCCTCCAGGCTGACCGGATTCAGTTGTTGAAGTGCTGAGTTGTAATCCTGCAGATAATTACGGATGACAAACGCCGAATCGCCAAACCTTAGGGTTGGAAAGCACCTCATTGGTTTCCAAGTGCCTGTCTGTGGCCTGGCTGCCATAGAAGCACCTGGGCAGGGTTTACCCCTGTCTTGGCCAAGTCCTTACTTTGGTGGGAAGAGGTTGAAAGAGACTCCAGAAAACACCAAATCATGCAGTGTTTTCTTCTAGGCTATGGGATCATGAGTGATTTTATCTTCTTCTCTGTAATTTCTTGTCTTTTCCAGTTTTTCTACAGCTAACATGTATTACTTTGGGGACTAAAATATACAATAAATGTTACCTCTGATTAAAAAAAAAGAAATGTCACCCAGGGAGCTTGTTTAATATACAAATTCCTGGGTCTCCTCCTTGGAGATTCTGACCCAGTGGGTCTGTGTAGGACCAGGGGACTCTGTATTTATAGCAGTGCCTCAGTGGATTCTGTGACACAGTCAGATTTGGGAACCTGCATTTCACTTATAAGGAAAGTGAGGACTCACAGACAGGCTGGTAGGACAGCCCGGCCGATAGCCAGGTCCTCTGATTCGTGGCCCAGAGCCTTCCTTGCCCATTTATGTGCCCTGAGGCCTGTCACAGGCAGAGGCATGGAACCTGGACCCTTCCTGAGAGAGGATTTGCGTGTCCTGTCCTGCACCTGCGCCTGCCTGTGTCTCCCAGCAAGACCTCAGCCTTCCTGTCTCACAGCACTCTCTGGCCCACAGCTGCTTCTGGGTCCCCCAACATCCTCAGTGATGGGAGTGAGGGTGCTGCCTTGCCTTATCTCCAGAGACCTCAAGGCTCAGGAAGTTACCCAGGCAGCAAATGGCCTCTATTAGCGGAATTTGGGGAGAAATGAAGCACACAGAGATGGGATTGGACCAGGCCCCAAATCACAGGATTGTGATTTCCCTTCTTCGGCCATTAGGCTGTTTTGAGCTGATCTAGAGAAGGGGAGAATAGAGGGTAAGATTTGGTATAAAGAAAGGAAGGCATATATGGTGGCACTTAGAGCGTAGCGATAGTGGGAAAGGACATTGTGCTAGGGTTGGATAGTCTGGGTTCAGCGCAGTCTCTGACACTTATTAGCTATGTGGCCAAGTTCCCTAACTCTTCCAATGATCTCATCTGTAAAATGGGATGATAATGTATACCTACATCACAGGGTTGTTGAGAGTACTGAAGGAATTTAGTATATATAAAGCAGTGCTTCTCATACAATAATGTGTCTCAGAGTCACCTGGGGATCTTGTTAAAGGTGCACATTCTGATTCATTCAGTAGGTCTGCATTTCTAATAAGCCCCCAGATGATGCCAAGGCTGCTGGTCCATGGACCACACTCTGAGAAGTAAAGATGTAAAACATTCAGAACAGAGCCTGGCACACTCAATGTTACTACGGTTAGGATCGTGGCTGTTATTGTGACTTGGCCTTTTCAAACAGGCACCTGAGAAGACTGGGAATTCCAGCAGACTGGCTTCTCCCGGGACCAGTCTTTTCCTGGATTCTCCTGTTCTACCACATGACCTTTGCACCTGTCCTAGGCAGCAGCTGGCGCGGAGAAGGGGAGGGTGCTCTACCCAGCTGCTATGGGCCTGAGTCTTCAGGTTTGCAGCTGAGTCCATTTTCACGCTGTTTTACTCTAACCAGATTTTGTTAAGCCGGGTGTGTTTCCTCTTTTTACTCATCTTTGTTTACAAAACACAAGGAAGCCATCAGTCTCCCCAGCCACAGTCTGCCAGCCCTCCTCTGTGGCACAGCCCAATTTCCCTGCCCCTCCTAGCAGTAGCCATGCCTCCACATTTCTGGGTTGTTTTCCAGTCTCCCTTCTGCAAGGGGAAGAAGAATACTATTGCCACAGGCACGGGGCATTCTGTTCTCCTAGATTAGCAGGGTTCTGAGGTCAGCTTCAGCTGACACCTCACCTCTCTTCTCTTTGTGGCCTGAGGCAGAGTGAAAGGGAACCCAGCAACCTGCATGGTTGCCCCCAGCCAGATGGACCTGCGAAGCTCTGGGTGTCCAGGGGCCTGGGCTCACTCTCCAGTTCTGCCACTGACTTACCCTATCCTCTTCCCATCTGACTAGGAGTCTCTTGGTGGGGGCTGGGGCAATGGTTGAAGACAGCCCAAGAGAGGGTTCCAGCTCCCCCGAAACTTCATATAAATGTGCTTGCTGCAGTAATCCAGGTCCAGCCTGTGCTGGCTCCTTTCTGCACACTAGGTTTTTATTCCCCTGTCCACTGAGAACCCTGTGGAGAGGGCTCCAGCCCAGTCCTCCTGCCCTGGCAAACAAAGAGAGAACAAAGATCCCCTCTTCCAGCACCCCTCAGTCCCCTCTGGGCCTCTGCTGGCCCCAGGGAAATGGTACCTGTGTGGGTGGGGCACCAGCCACAATCCTGTGAGCCACTGACCCCTGACCTTTGCCCCCAGCTTCTCTGCCTGACAGTAGGACCTGGGATAACCTCCAGAGAGTAGTGTGCATTCTTTGTTTTTGTTTTGTTTTCAAGTATGTTCTTGCTTAACGTTTAATTGGCTCCAGTCAGTAGGAAAATGCTCCAAGAGGGGTTATTTATGGCTTACTGTCAAGAGCAGCTATAAAAAGGGCAGCGCTGAGCTGGAGATGCTGGGAAGGGAGAGAGGGAGGGCGCACAAGTGTGCATGTGTGTGTGCGCGTGTGTGTCTGTGTGTGTGCGTGTTTGCACTGGATGAAATCAGATTTTTGCTGCCTCAGCAGTGTGGTTTAAATTGAAGATTAACCCTTTGACCTTCACAGTGTCAAATCACTTGCAGATGGAGGCTCCCCCCCTTTTCCCCCTTGTTCTCTGTGTTACTTTGGAGTTGGGGGGAGAGAGGGGGGCACTTCTTCTCTTTTCTTTCTGAAGAAAGTTTGTTGTTCATGCAGCTGAGGTTTGAGGGGCTCAGGAGCCAATCTGATTAAAAGCAGCACTTGGCTAAACTCTGAAAAATCCTGCAAGCAGGGGAAAAAGTTTAATCCTCTTGTGCACAGTGCATAAAGAGCCTGGTCTTTTCTTTTTAATGTTAAAACTGCAATTGTTTTTGGAGAACTCAGCTATCTCCCCCTCATGGCCACTTCTCTTGCCCCCCCCCACCCCCCAGTTTGCTGAACTGATAGGATTAAAGTGCCGCCCCAGACATGTTGATCTGAACTTTTATTGGAAATGATAAAGAGTCGTCTAAGGCTGCGTTTAGAAGTCACGTTGATTTTTTTTTTTTTTTTCCTTTCAGCACCAGCAGAACCGAAATCGGGTGTGGTGGCAGATCCTCCTCTTCCTACACAACCTCGCTTTGAATGGAGATGAGAACAGGAACGGGGCAGGTCCCAGGTGAGGCTGGGCTGCCCTCTTCGAAAGGGGCACCACAGGAAGGACATCAGCGAGGACTGACACTGTGTCTTGTGAAGTTGTTTTTTGTTGTTTTTATTTTAAGAGTTTATCTCTATGTACATAAGACATACCCAAGCGGGACCTCTTTCCCTGTTCAGGGCCTCCACCAGGAATGGGGGCCTTTGTCAAACACTGTTGAAGTAGAGGTTGATGTGTCTGGGATGGTGGGACCTCCCAAGGGCTCTGACAAGCAGATTCTTCAGTCAACAGTTGTCGAAGATGACCAGGTTAGTGATGCTCTCTGGCAAGTGGGCTGTAGGTTTCCCACAGGAACTCGGTTAAGAAATAGGAGACTGGCTTATTAGACCCTGGTTCCGCCAAACCTATCAGCCTTCCACCGTGGAGAGGGCTGAGATCCGGATGGTCACACTGCTTGAACCCACCAGGACCTTGGCCAGGAGCTTTCCAGCTGAGCATGGCAACTGCACCAGGCCGGTCAGCCTGTATCTGGGTTCTCATATGGCCCAGCCAGTGCCTGCCCTAAGGGCTCAGGGATTCTTACCCAGCCCCTGTCATCTCCAGCAGACCTCAGGGAGGGTTGGGTTTCTCCAAGGACCCCTCAAACATACCGCAAAATGAACCAAACTTCTGGGTAGGCCTCAAACCTGACTTGGTCCCACTTGGATGCCCCAGGATTGCTCCTGGGGTACAGAGAACCACTGCCACCTCTGGCTTCCTGGAATTGGCTGGGTGCTAGCCATGGATGAGCCAAACAGCCAATCAACGTGCTGTCGCCAGCAGCGTGTACCTTGTCAGCTCTTCTCTCCAAAGACCCAGCAACAGGCTGTATTGCACAGCCAGTATCAGCACTCTAGGGCATGAAGGGGCAGGATTACAGTGGGACTGGGAAACATGGCCATCCCACCTGTAAGAGTCAGCCTTAGAGGAACCCAGACCCCTTGGTTTCCTTGGAAACAACATACCTCCTCCTCCTTATCCCCATTCCCTTTTCACACCTAGTATGATACAGGAAGAAGCCAGCACAGTGGCTTTGTCAGCTGCAATATGTCTTTTAGAGTAACAGACAATGATTAAGAGTGCGGAACCCTCAAAGCTGGGTACACATTTCCTGTCTTCCTTCAGCTTCCAGCTAGGCCAGAAGGGTATGCTCTGGAACTCTGCAGGATCACAGCTGCCTCTGAACTTCTTCCCTTCTCTCCCGGCTGTGGCGCTAATGTAGAGAGTTTAAAAGCCAGTCTGCCAGCTCTGATGGCAGACCCAGGGAATCTGAAAAGACATAGGGAACCTGGTTAACAGAATCTGTTTACCAGTCACCTAGGAATTAAATGATAATTTTTGCATATGTTAAGAAAAGATAACATTGGTGCTAATGTTATGCAATGCCCAAGGGAAGCAATGCCCCAAGAAAAGATGGCTTTCCTGGGCAGAGAAGACCCCAGGGCTACCCAAGGAAATTGGAGGAGTCCAGAGCAGACTCTCAAATCTGAGGAAGCCCAAGCTCCTCCAGTTCTACGAAGAGGTCTTCAGTACTGTTGAAGAAAGCATTGATCTTCTGGAGGTACAGTTGGACAGGTTGTTCACTGCACAAAGGCACCTGCAGCAGAAGATAACGGAGGCTAAAATCCAGTTGGTGCTCTGCTCATTAAGTTGTATGCCCTAGTGTAGGGCTATGCCTGCCCAGAAGGGGTGCCTTTCCTAATGTGCACGAAAGTGCCATATGGGCTCACAGTAGCCCTGAGGAGGACCTCAAACTGTGCATAAGCCTGTGTTTTGTTTTGCTTGGATGTTCTGGAGGTATTACCTCTTCTTGGCCAGAATTATATTCTCAGGGTGTGTACCATGGTTTGTCTGCTAAGAAGATGGGTTCCTGCTTATAAGGAGGAGCCCAGGGAACAGGCATGAAGACTGGCTCTGGGACATGCTGACCATTGTGAAATCCAGCCTTCCCTGCGTGTCTCCGTATGATGTGCATAAAACATGTGTTTTTCCCTCTCCTGGACCAAGGCTGAGACAGGAGGGCTGCTGGTATATGCCTGAGTGGAACACAAGAAAACCAGGATTATTTCTACCAACCATTTTTAACCCCTCTTGGTGGACTTTCCACCTGAGCTGAGTGAGAGCAAATAAATGGTGTAGATTTTGGTGCTGAGGCAAAGCCATCAGCTTCAGGGATCCTGCTAGGTCCAGGAGGGATGCCCTGTGGCCTGTCCTGAGAACTGAGCCCAGAGTTTGACAAGCCCACCTGAACCTCGAGCCTGGGGCCAGGTGGCGGGTGGTCTGACTGCAGTGTCTCCAACTCCTGTGCAGCCAAGAACTAACTTACTATCCTAAGCAAACCAGGGCAAAACTTAAAACCTCCCTCCTTTCCCTTCCCCCAGAAACCCAGGAGGTAACTGGCAGAATAGCCCCAGGAGGGAGAGAGGTTCCTCCTGGCTGGCTGTTTTTAATTGGCCTAGTGATCTAGACCACCCCCTTCCCCCTCTGCCTGTAGAGTTGGTCTGAACATTCCTCAAGTCCAGCCTCAGGAGACAAGTCCCTCCCCGTGGGCCCCTTCTCCCTACCCCCCACCCCCAGAGGCTTGGCTGTCTCCAGTGAGGGGGTGGAGAATCAGATTTAGAGGGAGGCAGAGTCTGACCTGGGTCCTGACCTGTAACCAGCTGAAGACTTGTGGAGCTTTTGTGGTTTGCTTGGGGGTAGGGGGATGGGGGAGGCTGGAAACCTCCCTCCCCATTATAGAAATGCCCTGGAGGAAGGGAAGCCTGCCATTCAGGGTCAAAACAGGCCTTCCAACTCAGAACCCTGGGGTTCTGGAAGCTGTAGACAGAGCTGGGGAGGGTACCCCCCCCAAGCCAGACATCTGACTCCCCAAGCCAGTTGGAGGACTGGGCCTGGCCTTTGCCTTCCCCTGCTTCAAAGTCTGGGCTACTGGAGAGCTGCCCCTGTGGCCTGTTGCTCAATCTGAGGCAGATAGTTGACCTCCCAGTGACCTCCCCCAGCCCCTAGGGGAGTGGGTCTGTGTCCAGAGCTTATGTGGCAGGCATGTTCCAAGTGTTCAGAGGGGCCCAGCTGATTTGTCTCACTGTCCCCAACAGTCCAGATCTGTCTGAGGGTGGCTCTGTCCTGGGCATGGCAAGGAGGGGTCGATTGGGATGATCCAGCCAGGGCCTCCAACCGCCCGAAGTCTTCTGGGAAGGAGGCTGGGCAGCCACTTGACTGTCCTGGTCAGCAAGGAGCACACTTGAAAGCTTGTGTTTTTGTGGGGGGACTTGGTGAAGAAGGGATAAGGAGCGTGGAGAGCAGCAGAAGCAGGAATACTTCAGTTTCCATGGCTCTCAGGGCTTCTGCGAAGCTGTGGGGTCCCTCTGTGTGTTTTGGTGTGTGTGTGGGGGGGGTGGGGAAATCCTTGGTGGCATGCCACCCTGGCAGATTTGTTCCAGGAAGGGTTTAGCCTATCAGCCTGTGAAACCTCCTGGGGACACTGGGCAGTGGTCACCTCAGGGCTGGGGAGGACTTAGAGCCTTGAAGGAGTGGCAGGGAAATCTGAGCTCTTCCATAGGTGCGCCAGCCTCAAGGCTGAAGGTGCTCGGAGCCTGTGCAGGCTTCCGGTCCACACTGTCCCTCTCTGTGCAGGGGTCCAGTGCCTCTCCCTGCTCTGTGAGCAATGCTCAGTGGGCCGCCCCATTCCTGGGTCCACAGGGGCTGTCAGGGGAGACCCAGTGAGAATGTAGCATTTTGTTCATCCCAGATTAGTTGCCCTGGGTTCTAGGCACTCTGCCTCTGGGAGAGAGACAGGGAAAGAGGGAGGGGAATAGGGACCCATTGTGTTTTAACCTGTACAGATTATTTGGCTTTCTGTTCTTCACATGCATATGTGTGTGTGTGTGTGTATCTTCCCCCCCATCAATTGGTACCATTTTTAATAAAACCATTTAAAGCAAAGCTGGCCTGTCATTTTCAAGGTGTGGTAAAAATGCAAGGGGATCCGTTAGAGCAGCTGACTCCTAACTTGTGTCTCAGCTGCCATCCTGAGTCACCCAGGAGGCTTGCAGCTTGTCAGGACTTCTCTTCCCCTCTGAGTGGAGAAGAGTCTTCTGACCACACAATAAGCAGCAAAGCAGAGTCCCCGTGAGGTTGAAAGACACAGGTTTTAGATCTGGACCTGGATTTGGATCCGGTTCCAGCCTCCACCAGCTGAATGATCTTAGGCAAGTTATGTAACCTCTCTGAACTGTGTAAAATACAGCTGTGCCTGCCTTGCAGGATTGAAGGGACTGTGTGCAAAGAACTTGCTCACCCCCCCCCCCCATCAAGCTGGACTTCAGTTTCCTTTTATCAAGGTAGCATCTCAGGAGGTAGGCTAGTTGTAGGGAGACTTCCTGGCTTGTATTTCTTTGTGGATTAACAATGTGTCTGACTCAAGAGGGTAATTTAAAGCTCTTGACAGAGTTCTGAAAATCCTTGGGAAAAACCACCCCTGGTCCTATCAGCAGCAAGCGGTGAGCCAAAGGGCCAACTCGCCTTACCTGTATCAGCCCGTGATTTAGGAAGCTGTTGGCTCTCTGAGGACCAGTCTTGGACTCCAGTTCCTCGCCTCATAGACGGTGGGAGCTTGAAGTGACGCTAAACTGTCTTGCCTAACCTCTTTGTTTTGTGGATGAGTAAACTGAGGCCCAGAAGGGGGATGTAATTTTCTATTTGGATTTTTTAAACAGCTGAGTCAGCCTGAGGGGGGCTTACCCCATCCATCTGGGTTTCCACTTGGAAATTGCAGTACTCTTGCCCAGATCTGTGAGGAAGCCAAAACTTGTCTATTTTTAATGCCAAATAACTGCCTCTTCTCCTGTAAAACATGGCACTTCTAACCACTCTATATTTGGACAGAGAGGTTTATTTTTACTGGAGTGTGGTAGAAGTGCGGCCTGGTGCCACGTCCGGATGTTATTCTACATTTCACGTGCTGGATTGTAGTTGAGCCCATTAGCAGCTCCTATGAGGTACACAGGGAATTAGTAGGTGATTGGTGATGTACTGTCTTTCTTTCAAGTCTTCTGCTACTTTGGGTAAGCCTGTACTCAGTTGCCCAGGCTAGAAACCTGAGAGCTCACCCTTGTCCCACCCTGCCCCTCCCTTCTCTCTCTCTGATCCCTCCAGAGCAAGTCCAGTGAGAAGTTAAAGGCACAGCTGCCCAAATTTGAGCCCAGCCTCTGCTGCTCACCAGCTGAGCCTTACTAAGCAGGTCACATAGCCTTTCTGTGACTCAGTTTCCTCATCTATCAAATGAGATGACAGTAGTACCTACCTCATAAGGTGGTTGTGAGCATGAAATGTGTGAATACATGTAAGGTGCTTAGAGTAGTGATTGGTATATATTAAGTTGTCAATAAATGTTAGCTGATAATGTTAATGATATTACTGTTATTATTTATAGCAGCTGACCAATAAGTTCTCACCATTCTTACTGGGAAATGTCTCTTGTACCTATCTGTTGCATTGTCTTAATGTGAAGTCTTTTTGCCTGGGCAACTGCAGAGCCTCCTAACTGGTCTCTTTACCAGCCTTGGCCCTTCTACTGTGACTTCTCTGTGGCTAGGGGACTTTTCTAAAAGACAGCCCTGATCCCATCGGTCCTCACTGGAAAACATGTCTACCTCTCCAGCTACCCCCTGGTATGAGAAGTCTGCATTTGTATTCTGTATAATGAATGATCCCCAAATTCAGCAGCTTTAAACCACAAACATTTATTATCTGAGTTTCTGTGGGTCAGGAATTCAGGAGTGGCTGCCCAAGGTGGCAACATGGTGAGAGGCTGATATTAAGGTGGAGATTCCTGGAGCACCCATTTAATTACACAAAGTCCACTCTACAAGCTCAGTTGGGGGTGGGCGCAGGGAGACAGAGCTGTATATGGTGATACAGTGCAGCAGACGGGCCTCCTGCCCTCCACTCAGTGACCACGTGCTGTGTGGAGTGAGTGTGACATGGGAACATGCATGACAGCCCTTTCCTGGCCTCATATCTTACCAGCATCTGATCACATTCAAAGATAAGTTTTTCTGGTCCAGTATGACCCTGAATGCTGGTGGTTTCTTTCCTCTGCCGTTCAACTGAAGCCACAGAACTTTCTTCCAAGCTGAAGGAAAAACTGGCTGGCTGGGATTTCCTGAGAAGTGATATGTCTGCTTGTTGTACTTCATGAGTGTCTAAAAAAATTTTTCAAGGGCAATTTTCACTTCATGTGATTTTTGCCTTACAGGAGGTCTTGGAACCAGTTCCTGTGGAACATGAGCCTCCATTGGACCACACTACACCCAGTCACTCTGTCCTTAATCCCTTTCTTCCCAGGAGAACCGTTGGTCCTAAATGGGAAGGCTCAGAGTGGAATTAGAATTGGAATTGCCCTGAAGGATGGGGGGTGGGGGGTTGGGGGGTGGAAGTAAGTGATGTCCTGCCTGGCTGGTGCTTTTGCTGTCATTCAAGGGTCCCCTGGCTCCCTGCTACCTTGCAGGTAGATCTGTCACTAGCATTTGAATTAATTCCAAGTCCTGCCCATGAGAGAAGACAAAGTCTATGGAATGAGTCAATGGCACTGACTGAGCTCCTTTACCATGAGCAAGACACCACCCTGCACCCATGCACAGATTTTAAAGAAACAGGCCACAGGAGCCCTGTCCTCAAAATTATGTCCTGAAAGAAATCCAGTTAGTATGAAGCAGTGGAAACCTCACCCAACTAGGATGAAGGAGACTGGGTTTTTAAGATGACTGTCACTAACTGGCTGAAGGACTTTGGGCAAAGAGGTGAGTTCACCTCTCTGGTCCTCGGTGTCCTCATCTGTAAAATGGGGTGGGACCAAACTGCATCTCTGTGACCGCCCCCTCCCCAGCATTTTATTCAGCAGTTTCCATTTTGATCATAAGCTCTTTTGAGAGTCTGCTGAAACAGTATAAGGATCCTTGCCTCAAGAGAAGGCTCATAATATGCATGGATTCATTTTTGAATAAAATGTCTGGCAATTTATTGAGTCTCTGAATCTGTCACTTGGTCCCCAGGTTTAAGGACTAATGTTTTATTGAGAAGGGACAAGCAAAAGAACAAGTAATGCAAAAACTTTGAAACCAAAGCCAGTTCTTTCCTCCTTCCACTCCTGAAGTTACCACTAGACATGCCCCCCACCCCCACCCCACCCTGTTCCTTGAAGGAGGGCAGTGCAGTCTCTGGAGGCACTTGCGTTTATTGCACTGCATTCTGAATCTCAGAGACACACGCTTTTCCTTCAGCACGCTCGGAGGCTGAAGCTGTGACAATGGTAGGGTCCCTTTGGAAGCCACACATGCCCAGCCCAGACACAGTATTTGTGGCCACAGTCGTCTTTGCACCCCTTCTATCTTACCCAGATTGAAACCAACAATGAGCCTGGGTACCTTTCCATTAACTCAGGGAGGAAAGAGACTCCTGATGAAAGTGTCTCAGGGTGCGTGCTGAATGAGCTGGTGGGAAACAATCAGATGCTAAAGGTGTAGGAGAATGTGGCCTTTGGCCCTGGGAGACTCAGGAGCTGTCAAGGGCGAAAACCGGAGGGCTCTAGGCAGCCTCGATAACACGGTCTTGTTTTTCACCTGAGTGCACCCAGGGTTCTGCCCAGTGACTCTATCTTTGAAGTGGAGAGGGTTCAGTGCCTGGTGGCAACCTCATTTCTAACACATCATTACATTTGCCAAGTGCCCTTGAACACCGGGCACCAATTTCATAGATGCTGTGTACACACACTCTCTCTCTCTCTCTCTCTCTCTCTCTCTCTCTCTCTCTCTCTGTGTCTCTCTCTGTCTCTCTCTCTCTCTCTCTCAAGTGGGCTGGATACTGTTTTAAATAGCAACTGCAGAACAGCCCATGAGTCCCAAGTCCAGTGGATCAAGCCTGGGGTCAGTGAGCCTCCTGCCCGAATACTAGGACTTGAAACTGCTGCTGTCAATCGTCATTCCAGACACAGAATTGCAGTGATCCCTCCCTGAAACGTAGCAAAGAGCTGGTGATATTTTATTGACTGGGGAAACTGAATACACCTGTAAGACTAGATTTCATTCCATCAGGACCACCTCTCGCCACTGGCAGTCACCATTTACCCAGTATAACTATTGCCATTTTCTTGACCACTGATGGGCATTAGTGTGTGAATGGCTCTGTGCATGTCTGGATAGACTAAAGGTTCCTGGTGGCAGGAACTGGTCTTTCTCATTCGCCACTGTATCCCCACCATCCAGTGAAGAACTTGACACTTGCAAGATGCTCAGAAATCTTTGTGGAAAGGAGTGATGAGTAAGGATTGGAGGAATGGGGTGAGTACAGATGTGATATTCAGCGAGGTATACCATCCACCCCCATAATCATTTTGGAACTCCTCCTGAGGAGTCCCATGGAGCCAGGCTTTGAGAGTGGAGAAATGAACTTTGTTTCCCTCTCCTCCTCCTGCCAAAATCTGGAAATCAGATTCTGCAGACTTTCAGGAAACTTGACTTGCTCACTTCAGAAAGATTCAATACAGCAATTTCTGGGCAGAGGTGGGATTAGAGAAAAGGCACATGGCACTGGGGCAGGTGGGCTCCAAGCAGCGTAGGGTAGTGGGCCAGGCTGAAGGCCACCTGCCTTACTCAGTACCCCCCGCGAGCAGAGCCCAAGCTCACCAAATACCCGTGGGTCCCTGGCATGTTGGTGGATGTTGCTGCTGAGGGGTTGCTGATGCCTGAGGGTACAGCCATGTTGGGCTGCGTCAGCAGCCTGCCAGCTTCCCTATAGCAGTGCTCTGCCAGCTACCATGTTCCCCCGTCCTGAGGAAGGACGACGAGGGGGAGATGTGGTCCAGGCTGCCCTGTTCCCTTTTCTGGTTCACCCCAGCCATCCAGGACCAGAAGCGGGAGGAGCTGGAGGAGGGATGTGTGTGTGTGTGTGTGTGTGTGTGTGTGTGTGTGTGTGTGTGTGTGTGTAG